AAGGAGGAAAGAAAGAAAGGAGGAAAGAAAGAAAGAAAAAGAAAGGAAAGAAAGGAAGGAAACAAGTAAATGCCCGCAATTTAAAAATTGACACATCCTTTGAGTTATAGCCTCATATATATATTTCTCATGATAAAAAATGTATATTGAAATAATTCTACCACAGAAAAATCACAAATTCAAAAGAAAAGTCATTCTTGAAATTTAACCAATTTTCCCAGTAAAGTTCAAGCAGGTCCAGAAGCAGATAAACTCCTTGAAAAGTCCCCTGAGTATGTCCCCTGCTCTTGCCCCAAGTATTAAGTTGTTTTTATACTCAGATATAAGCAGAACAAACATTCTTAGCCAAAAAAGGAGAGTTTTCTTGGTCTTCTCCAATCTTTAGATGTTTCACTAAAACTACCAAATCCCCAAACGGGAAAAGCTACTAACTAACGTGAGAAATAAATGACCGCAAAGGGAGGGTCAGAATAAAGTTAGGAAAGAAATAGTGTGAAATGAAAACAACTTCTAATTGCTTTCTATTGGTTTAAGTTGGTAATCCACCTTATGTTTAACAGCTATTGGACCAAAAAATTCAAACTACCTCTGAAAAAGAAAGAAGATGATTCTTCAGTTCCCATAAAACAAGTAGTGCTTTTGAGTGGTGAAAATGCTCATTGCAGGAATATGTAAACATTTCAGGACTTACCTGATACCTTGGTTCACAGTTCGCTCAGTCCGTTACACCAATACACTCCAAAATCAGGGATTGCCCCTGCTTTATCCCAGGGTCAGATGGTTTTTGGCACTTCTCTCTCTCTCTCTCACACACACACAGACACAGAGCACTTCCTTCGTGAGTGGCCTCTGGGGCACCATCACTCGTCACTAGCATGGCCAGGGCAGCAGTGTGAAACCTTTGCAGAGAGAAATAAAAACACAAAATCAGCTTATCCCGGATGTCTTCAGGAGTAACAAGAAGACAGAAGAGAACAAGGGCACCCTGTATCTGCTAACCGTTAGAGTGTGTGTATCAAATGACATACAAGAAATGGGGTGATAATTTCTGAAACAGTTTTACTAATCATAATGTTAAGACAGAGACTACAATAACAAAACGCAGACCCCAACAGATCTAGGGAATATATGAGTAGGACAGGGTGGGCAAGTAATGTAGATAGACAATTCTCTAATAATTTCAATCCAAACTGCATATACAACAAGGTATTATCACACACTATAATTTACCATGAAACTAACCTATCAAACACCAAACTGGTAGGACACAACAACCTTGCAGTGCAGGTTGAATGCAAATTGAATGTACTAACACTTATTCCCATAACTACAGAGCTAGTAGTGTTGCCCTTTTACCATTTTGCTATGAAGCTTTGGAGGATTTCATGCTCTTAAATCTTCAGTTCTTGGAAGCAGATGGCAACCCCAGAAAAACTCTTGATTGATTCATTTAAAAGAAAAAAAAAAAAAAAACATGGGGGGGGCAATAATCTTGGATTCGTAGAAACAAATTAGAAATTTTTGTATGGTTACTTTAGATAATACCATGCCAGGATATAAAAGAGCCTTTGTACATCTGAGAATTTAATAATATACTTTCATGTGTCATGGAATAAAACCCCAAGGGATGAGTTCTGGCAACACCTTCGCATAGTGCAATTTTTCCTGGTGGTCTGGGAAGTCATTACCGCTTTTCAGCTGAAGCTACCTAATATTCCTTCCCTCAAAACCATGTTTCCTCTCTGCTTCTCCACTTGTGTCTTGTCATTGTTCACTGAGGCACAATTTTTCTGTAAAAACTGTCAGATGCTCTGACTCAGCAGGATTAGGAGATTCCCTGCTCCAGAACTGAGCCACTCCTTCTCTTTCCCATCCATGGAGCATATGGTGGCATGCCAGGGCGGACGCCACACTGCAGGAAGAGCAGCGCTCTGGGACTTCATAACCAGCTTTACGGGAGGGCTGCCTGGGCACGTTTCTGCCAGCCGGCAGAGGACAACCTCAGGGTGACTCCCCTTGTGTAACCCTAGAACCTGGAGAAAAATCTCCCAGCTTGGACACAGAAGCTGCATAGCCACATGCATAGGATATCAAGTGCTACAGTTTATTAACCTGGGTGAAGCACACGTGATGTTCTGGATCCGAGCTAATCACTTATTGCAGTGCACGTGAGGAAGCAGACAGAGGGCAATTGCAAATATTTTCCCCAAAACGGGGAGGGTGGGGAGCCAAAGGAGAGCAGGAGACAGTAAGGAGCTCTTACCAATGCTGTGAGCTTGTACCAAACTAATATAAAAGAGTAAGATTTCCTGTTGCTCGTCTTTCTTTTGGTTACTTTTGAGAAAAGGCAAAAATAGAACATAAAATTAAAAAATGTAAAAAAGAAAGCAAAAAGAA